TCTGTTAAGTGTATAGACGGATGGGGACGGAGGCCGTAGTTTGATCTTTTTTTATAGATTAAGGGGTATTTTAAATCATTTTGAAAATTCATAGAACATTTTGAAATAAGGTACATAATAATTCAGAAGTATTTGTGAAAATAATCCTAAATGAAATGCAAACAATTAGTTTAAAAGTCTGTATTAAAGATGGATGGAACTTCTGTACATGCAATAAGTTTGTTTTGTGTTTGGATGATGAATTTAAAGGGAAATCATGAGAAATCCACAGAAGTGAGCATAGACATTATAAAACTTTTATCTTTATCTTTTCTCTCATGTTTTTAACTTAAAGGAGGAAAAATTTTAAAAGAATTATACAAAACTAAAGAGACGAGTTAAAAGGGTCACATTTCCTAATTTTCTCAAACGAAATCGACAATCATAGCACAAACAACGAGCCAAAGGCAAACGACAATCATACCCAAAAAGGCAAGAAACGACGAGAAAGATACATTTCATTGAAAACTACACTTAAGCACGAAACGACAAAAATATAAATGAAAACGGCACAAATGAAGGACGAAAAATAACGATAGCAAAACTTGACATAAACCCAAAACGAAATAAATAGCACAAAACGGTACGGAAAAGAACGACATAAGGGCTTTGTAGATCAAGAAAAGCCCAGATTACCTGTTACACAAACCAATTAATGGGCTAGGCCTGGAGATCCAATCGACATAAAAAGTTAGCAGGTCCATGAGCTTTTCAATAGGAGATACAAAACAACCTCATTTTTTTTAGAGTATAATACAACCTCATTCTATTCGCACATACTGACAATTCAATTCGTGTCACGTATTTTGATCATTTTATTTTAAATTTATAGTTAATTTGAACACAATTTATTCATTTTTTAAAAATCGTAATATGAACACGATATGATTATTTTATGGGTTGACACAAGACGACATAAAAATGACCCGATACACGAAATTGACTCATGAACCCGAACTTAAAATTCATAGCACGTTAAAATACAATAACATCTATCAAAATTAAGTAAATAATAGTATAATATTTTGAGTATAACTATTGTGATAATAATAAAATCTAAAATATATAATGAAAAAAAAAATATTTTTTAATTTTTTATGAGTTTCATGTCGTGTTCGGATTAGGCGAGTCCAACTCAAAATTGACCATTTTTCATGTCAATTTCAGGTCGATCTAATTTTAACTTGAACCTCTTATTTCTCAACCTTAACCCACGAAATTCGTGTCGTTTTTGAGTTGTGTTATCATATCGTGACCCATATTGCCGGTCTTAATTCGCACTTTTTTTTTTTTTACTTTTCACACCCCTCATCTAATTACACACCCCACATAATATTTAAATGATTACATTTTCTTTTTACACACCTTATTATTTCAAAATTACCCCTAACTATTTTTTATAAAATCATAAAATATGGTTTGACTTACACCCCTCTTTTCTATCTACACCCACTCATATCTTTATTCTCCACACTTCTTTCTAACCACACACTCACGGAAATTAATTTATTACTTTAATATTATTTTTATTTGTATCTTTTTATTTTTTGTTTGAAACTTTAGGCATAGTGGTTTTTTTTAAGTTCAACAGGGAAACCAAAAAATAAATAAATAATGAAGGTAAATAAAAAATAATTAAAAAATTAAACTGAGTGGTATTATATTTATTGAATATTAATCGGGCTCGATAACAAACAAAAATGCAGTAAGATATCACCTAATGAGTACAATCGGCATTTAAAAAAAAGAAAAAAAAAACCTCGAAATCTGGCATTATAAAAACAAAAAAAAAAGATAAAATGATTTGCTTAAAAGATAGATTAGCAAATAAATATGAACACAAACTGAAAAACAAAAAGTAAAAAAAAAATAATGTTTAAATAAAATTAAACATACATCCATGTAAATTTGTTTGAAATAGATATTGAAAAGTGAAAATTAGGTTTTAGCTTTGTTTTTTTTCAATAGAAATAGTTTATAATTTGAGAATATGATATGTGGGGTGTGTGGAGAGAAAAAAGACTCTCTATTAATTACCCTTTTGTAATAAAATTTAATTATATAATTAAGTTTATTGTCTTTTTTGTCATTTTATTTATGGGTCTTTTATAATAAGAAATTTTTAATTAGGGAAAGTGTAAAGAGTAAAAATAGGGCGTGAATAGGACCACCCTTAATTATATCAATTAAACAATATTTTTTGTTGGTCCCGATTTTAATCAATGTGATAAATTATTATTCAATTAAACAATATCTTGATTGATTAATAAATTTAAGGAGGCTTAACTTAAAGAAAGTTATTGAGAAACATCCATCTAAGAAGGGAGAAATTGTATTGTTATTTTATATATGCTGAAAGGCATAATTTAAGTCTATGTTTGGTTCGCTAGTTTGAACTTTTTTATTTGAACAGAAAAATTCTAATAGAGTGATTTAAATAGTAGTTTGAACTGGCATTTAGTTGTGCATTTAAAGTTTTAATTCGAACATGGAATATAATCCGAATTAGTGTTTAAAATTTTATTCTAATTTAACTAAAAAACATTATTATTTATGATTTTTAAAAAATAATAATACATTAAGAGTTACAACCTGTACTATTTTTTAAAGAAAAAATTTTGTGCAGCGCTTCCCAAAATATGGTAATTTAATTTTTTAAATGATAATGTACAACAAATAATACAAAAGCTAATATCTTATTGAAGAAGTACATAATAATAAAGATTTAAATCAATGCCCTCACCAAACATAGATTTAAACTGTGGTTTGGGCTAAATTGAGCTGAACTAGATAGAATTGTCCAGGCAAACACCACGTTTATTATGAGGGAGAAAGAGATAAATAGGTCAAGACTTGAGATGAATTAAAATTAATAGGCTAATAGTTTACATAAGTTAATAAATATACCAAATTACTATTTTTGTTCATAATTTGTCTGGTTATGAACCATAACTTGACAAGTTATTGCTCATAAATCACGATTTTTGTCTATAACTTGTCTGGCTATGAACCATAACTTGATAAATTTATCTATAACTTATCTGGTTGTGAATTATAACTTGACAAGTTATGACCTATTAATTTTTATAACTAAAAATTGGCATATATACTTCCTTAAGCTTTTCATATTAGTTTATTTTCTACTATTTCCGTTATTATATTAAGCACTATAAGATGTTTACCATAATTCTTATATTTTTTTTTCAAGTTCAATTTGAAACGGGACAAAATTGTAAAAGGGAAGCATAAAACTTAAGAGACGAGCTAAGAAATAAGAACGTCTTATATACAATGTATCAATGTCAATTTTTTGCAAGTTGTTCACTTAGTTCTTTACTTATAACTCGAATTGACAATTTGGTATCTGCAAAAAAAAAAAAAAAATTTCTTTGATACGAATACAAATTGCAAACAAAATTGATACGAAGTTATGAGTTCAAAAATCATCAAAATATACTTGTCTTTCGCTAATCTTATCATATTTATATAGATCATAAGACCGATGGTTCATCTAATCTCAGTACAAAGTTATGAGTTCAAAAATCAATAAAATATTATCGTCTTTCGCTAATCTTATCTTATTTATATAGATCATAAGGCCGATGGTTTATCTAATCTCAGCATTCATCTTTTACAACATATACTTAATTTTTTGTTAAAAAAAATTTATAATTATACAACCTGAGTTTTGATTTCAAATTCAAAATCTCTAATAAATAAAAAATCAACTATGTTACTATACAAATTCAGAAATTTTGAACTCTAATACTTCAAAAATTATAATTAGACTTTATTATAGCATAGTTTTTTTTTCCAAAAAAAAATAATCAAAGATTCAAATAAGATACGTTGGTACAAGACTATTGTATTGTAATTTAGTTTAGTTTATGTCCCCTTTGAAGGCCAAAAAATAAAAAATAAAATAAAAAGAGAGACCCGCGTCACTGTCTTTGTGTTCTTAAACAAGCATGTTAACGGCCTCCATAATCTTCTTTCTTACTATCGCACTTCATTGATCCGAAATTACATCTGTTTTCAATAATCATCAATTTATTATTATTATTTTTCTAGATTAAAATTCTATTATTTAATAAGAGCTTAATTTTCTCTCTATAAACACACTGAAAGAGGATATACATTCTAAAGTGATACTAGTCCACCAAACATTGGTTTGCATTGTTAAACTTTACATAAGATTGCTATCGATTATACATCATTAATTTTTTTTTTATTTTACCACTAAAACATTGGCAGAATTGTCTTATCAAGCACTATAAGATATTTGCCTCAATTTCTTATTTTTTTCAAGTTGAATTTGAAATGGGACGGAATTGTAAAAGAGGAGCACAAAACTGAAGAGACAAGCTAAGAAATAAGAACATCTTCCATGTATCAAGGTCGAGAATCTGATCCTTACATTTTTCTTTTGCATTGCTAAAGTTTACATATGATTGCTATCGTTGGTACATTATTAAATTTTTTATTTCATCACTACAATGTCAAATTTTAAATCATTTAGTATTTAAACTCTATTTTTATAAGTATTAATGATTAATAATTATAATAAAAGGTAGATATAAAAGGAGTATAAAATAAAATAGTATAACAAATATGTTATTTTTTATTTATTAATATAAAATTACTAAGAAACTTTCTTTATATACCAGTTAAGGATGATGATGGAGTGGATAATATTTGTTATTTATATTGGAGATAGTTTAGAACGCATTTTTATAATTTTATCTTTGATAAAAACCGGCCCTCAAGGACATCAAACAACTAAACGACACCTATTCTCAAACGACAATTAATTTCTTCCTTTCCCATTAAGTAAAAGGGCCCACGGCCTATTAGATAACGTCAGTGAGCTCTATTAGCTCACCGCTGGTGAACCTATCACTTGTCGTTTTTCTTGCACTTCCAATATAAAAGGGTCATTCCTTTAACAACCTAGGGTTTCTGCGCTCGCATTTTTCATTCGCCGCTCGTCGCTTCGACATCTCGCAGCCGCGATTTCTGAAGACGAAAATGGTGATTCTCTCTCTTCCTCTACATTAATTTCTTGTTGATAAATGTGAATCGATTAGCTTTACAATCTCTTTTTATAGAAATCGAATGAGTTTCTGAAATGTTTGTTGGTCAATGAATTCGCAGCCGTCGCACAAAACCTTCCGTATCAAGAAGAAGCTCGCGAAGAAGATGAGGCAGAACAGGCCCATCCCTCATTGGATCCGTTTGCGCACCGATAACACCATCAGGTAAAAAATTCTTTTTTCCTTTACATTTTTTGGTTTTAATTTTTTATTTTTGTTTTGATTTTTGTCTATTTTTGGTTCTGAATTACATTTGTGTTTCAGGTACAACGCGAAGCGCAGGCACTGGCGCCGAACCAAGCTTGGCTTCTGAGGTCCCTGCTCGCAGAATCTGCGCCTTTCTCATTTGGCATGTTCTTATTTAATGAAGAATTTTGATATTTTTCTTTTTTAAACAACTTATGCTTCGTATTCTCCCAGAACCAAGTTGTAAGAACTCATACGAGTTCATTTTCTATTAGCTTTCGTTAATTAATTAGAGTGATTTTCAGTTGGATTATTTGCTTTGATCTTTTATGGAGCTACCTTTTAGATGATAATGAGTTAAAGCTTTAGTAGCATTTCATGTGTTTTCCGCCTTTAGTATTCTTGTTATAGTGATAATGAGTAACGAGTGATCTTCGTGATCTTCATTGTTTTCGTGATTTCACTTGTTTGGTTGAATTTTGGCGTTTTACCCTTGTTTTTGTCGAGAACTCAGCAGAGTTGCTTGAAATATTATTAACTGGGCAAGATTGATGGGATGTTTTTTTTATAGATTTTCACTTGTTGATTGTTCATTTGACAAGTTTACAACTTTAATGTTTGTATGTTGGATCGGTGATTAATCACTGTAGTTACTGGTAATTATCAATTTGAAATTAACTTAGAATCTGGTTTTGTGTAGTTTCTTTTAGCTACCACCTTCACTGGTTGTTTGGTTTGATTTCATATTTCAACTTTTATACTTTGTGCATCTTGTGTCTATTTCCGTATTAGTTTCGTGTAATGGTTTACATTAGTGTTCATTTCTGACGTATCTTCTTATTGGTCCGTGTGTTTCGGTATTGTTCTGCTAAGAGTTCTGAGATGATTATTCGTTGTATTATAGACGGTTTAGTTTAATCTATTTTCTTCTATACAAGTATTGAATGGTGAGTTATTCAGTGGTCATGTTATGGTTGGAGCGGTCGGATTCTAAATCCTATAAATGGGTTGAGTTTTGTGGCATTCATCTTCTCCATTCACTGGTGAATGTTGATTATATATACAGTTTTTTCTTTGTTGTATGAACGGTTGTATACTTAGATTGATTTTGGCATTTTTGGCATTTCATCTTTGTTGACATCACTCTTCACTTTATTCTTTATCCATTTTTGGTGAACTTGTGTTCGATTTTGTTACGTGACCGTTTATGGCTTCTGCAATGGTTGTTTAGTTGTCAATTTTTTTTTGGGCTTATTTTAAGGATGACGACATTTGATAACGATCCTCCGTTCAAATTTTGAGGGGAGAAAAACTTCAAATATTTGCGTTCTCTCCCCCATTTAAATGTAAAAATTTCGGGCAGTTGCTTAATCATTTTTTTTTTGGTTGCTAAATGACGTTGCTTCACATTAAAAACCTGGAATCAAACCGCCTTTACTATTTGAAGCTATCGACAGGCTCTAAAAAGGGTGAAGAAAAAGAAATAAATAAGTGTAGTGATGGTTATAAATAAAATCTTTATGTAGCTTCGCTCAACAAGAGTGCGTCAGTTTTTGCGATTACAGCGATGAATTGTTCTGCATACAGGTTATAAACGAATCTTTTCTATCAGCCGAGTGCGTCGGTTTTTTATCCAAAAGTTACGATTAATCTTACTTTTTAAATTTTAAGATCATTCTCATTTTGTAATTTAAAATTTGAAAATTCACTTGTCCATTGAATTTTGAATTTATCTATTCATGTTTTTTTTTTTTTTTTTTTTTTTTTTTTTTTTTTTTTTTTTTGTAAGAATTTCTGTTAAGTCGCGTGGAAAAGGAGGTTAAGTGATCCTATGAAATTTTTATCTATTTATTTTTAACAGAACTTCAAAGAAATAAGTCACCTGAGTGCATTGATCTCTTTTTTTCTATTTTATGTTTAATAGATATTATGAATGAGGTTAAATGGGTACAGTTTAAAGTTTTGAGGGTAAAATGAGAATTTTTAAAGTTTAGAAGATATATTGTGAAAGACATTAATATATATATTTTTTCTATCTATGTTTAATGGAAATTGCTAATGGGGTTAAGTGGGTACAATTTAAAGTTTTGAGGACAAAATGAGAGTATTTGAAGAATAAACTGTGAAGAACTTTAAAGTCTAGGAGACACTAATTAATTTTTCCCAAAAGTTATTATTCAAGTGGCAGACAGAAATATTTGAACTCGGTAATCAATCGATTGCTAAAAAAGATTTTACAATTCGCAGTATCCAGCTTTTATGCAAATTCTTTGTTAGTTCTTTATTTTCCTTTGTTGCTTGCGTCAAAAATTTCTGGAACGTATCAAAAAGGAAGCTGATTACTAATCCATAAAACAACTTTCATTAGCTCTTAGCTGGTTGAGGATGGGTTTTGTCATGCTACTATAATCCAATGCGAACATTTTTCAGCGTACTCCTTCGATCACATGCAAAAGCAATGCTCATTGCTAGAGCTGTAAGTTCAGATCGGACTAAACAAGTCGGTCCGAGATTTATTATTATTGTCCCGGACTTAATCTGATCTTAAATTTTTTGAATTTAAAGTTAGACTGAGTTAATCCTCTCTCTTTTAGGGTTGGGTCTTTTAAGATTAAGCCGACCCGGCCCAATCCGATCAAAATAATATATTTTTAAAGATTTTTTATTTTTTTAAAACACTTTATAAAATTTAGGATCCGAACGGATTAAACCGATCTTCTCTCTTTTAAGAAAAGAGAGGTCTTACCAAGCCTGAAATCTCCCTTAAGGTTAGTAGCTAGCCCGTCATCCAAACTTACACCTAGCCGCCCTCTTACACCTTTTTACTTACCAAAACCCCAAATCAGTAAAAATTACGTCGTTAACCGAACATTGGAGATAAAAACGACATATATCCCACCTTCACTTCCAAGGCCCACTTATTGAAAAGGTACGAGCCACAGTAGTTGATAAAAACAGGCCCACAATGTTTCAATGGGTTAGAAACCCACAACGTCAAGCAAGTAACTGCAAGACAATTGGCAATGTTCTGACATTCGAAAATCTACGCTCTGCTTTCACTCACAACGAACATAACCTGCCCTTCTCCTTCGTACTCATCGCCCCTTCTCTCTCTCTCTCTCTCTCTCTCTCTCTCTCACACTCTGCTCACTTCGCCACTTTTACTGATCCCTTGATCTCATTTATTACATTTTCACCTGCTTATACCATTATTTTCATTTTCAGTTCTCAATTTTCGACAACTTTGGTTACTTAATCGAATAATCAGTTTCAGAGTTTCTTTAATTTCGCATTCATCTCTTTATCGTCGTTTTCGTATTATTGTTTTCATTCAGAATGGCGTCTTCGATGCTCTCTCTAACTTCTGCCTCTCCGTCACCATCAGCTTCGCTATCTACCCAGGAATCTCTCAAGGTTAACTTTGCATGGTCGCTGAATTTCTGCTGTTTGGTTTATGAGAGATTTGAGGAAAATTATATCAAAAGAGAAGTCTTCAGATTTTGATTCCTGGCTCGGAGATCAAAACCTTTTATTGTTTATTTTCAACAGGGAAAGTTGAAGCTTCGGAGTTCCGGTTTGAGCTTCACCAAGGAAAAAATCAATCCTTTTGCAAATGGAAAAGTAATAGAAATGAAGTTTTCGACTCAACAATCAATTTTTGGTTTATAATGCTTTTGCTTTAGGTCAATTAAAGGCTTAATGTGATGAAGATGATTTGATGATGTTGTATTTAGTTTTTCTTCTTTTGATTTTTCGGTTATTGCTGGTTTGCAGTCTTTTGGCCGGGTGTCTATGGTGGCTGCCGTTAACGCTTCTCGATTTGACGGCATAGCAATGGCTCCACCTGATCCAATTCTTGGAGTTTCTGAAGCATTCAAAGCGGACACAAACGCTCTCAAGCTTAACCTCGGAGTCGGGGCCTATCGGACTGAGGAACTTCAGCCGTACGTGCTTGATGTTGTTAAGAAGGTTGGATCTCAATTCTCCCTGAATTGAGTATTTTTCCTTTTTGTGGATCTGATTCTGGTCTTGGTTCTCATTCAGCGAAAAAATTGTTCGATGAATTGAATGGGATTTTAGACGGCATGGTGTGTTTGACAACTAGTCTAAGAGTTAGAGTTTCTCTTTTGCAGGCAGAGAATCTTATGCTTGAGAGAGGGGAAAACAAAGAGGTGATCCATGTATTTGAACGTGTGGATGACTTGAAGTTGTTCTTAAATGTAAGTTATTTTTATTAATGGGGGCGGGACTTGTTTGCGACTGTAGTATCTTCCAATAGAAGGTTTGGCAGCATTCAATAAGGTGACTGCGGAGTTATTATTTGGAGCAGACAACCCTGTGATAAAAGAACAGAAAGTACGTACTGATTTTGGACTTTGATGTGCTTTTTTTTTTTTTTTTTTTTTTTTTTTGTCTCAGCCGTTGAGAATGTATATCATTAGTTGTTTTTATTTCTTGCTATTTTGGCCATTCATTTGCTTTTCTGTTATCTTATTCAGGTAGCAACTGTTCAAGGACTTTCGGGAACTGGATCTCTTCGTCTTGCTGCAGCTCTTATAGAAAGATATTTTCCTGGGGCTAAAGTTCTGATATCATCTCCAACTTGGGGTGTGCAGCGTTGTCTTTATGAAATTCGTTTTGATCTGTATCAATAAACTCAATTTTTCTTACCAAAATTGTCTTGTTGGCAGGTAACCACAAGAATATTTTCAATGATGCTAGGGTTCCATGGTCTGAATACCGATACTATGATCCTAAAACAGTTGGTTTGGATTTTGAGGGTATGATAGCTGACATAAAGGTAAACATGTTGACAAACAAGGATTCCTTCAGTATCAGCCTCTCATAGCATGACGGATGATAACAACATAGTTGGAGCTTATTGCATTTACTTTGCTAATAATAGAACACTATGGCAGATAGTTCATTCTTGAACATGGATTTTTTGTTACGTGTGCTTGGATGTGTATTTCTGCCTGGGACATTATGTTGTACTTCTGCATATTGATGTACAACTTTGTATATATCTGGGTGATTATTTGACTGTTTTGTTTGCATCTTTCTTCAGGCCGCCCCCGAAGGGTCATTTGTGCTGCTTCATGGCTGTGCTCACAACCCAACTGGCATCGATCCTACCCCTGAGCAGTGGGAGAAAATCGCTGATGTCATTCAAGAAAAGAACCATATTCCATTTTTTGATGTTGCATACCAGGTATTGACGTTGGCAATCAAGCTGTAAATTTCATTTTCAACTTCTACTTCTTTCCTGTTGAAACTGAAACTTTTGAAGGAAATTTTTAATCACTGATTGTATCTAAAAAAACTAAACACATCTTTAATACTCTTAGTTGCAAACATGACCTTTTATTTTATTTTATTTTATTTTAATGTTCTATGATCACGTGGAAGTTCTGTAAAAAAATATAGAGCTTTTCCAAGTATGGTAATTTAATATGTTAGCTTCCTAATTACTTTAGGGATTTGCAAGTGGAAGCCTTGATGCTGATGCAGCATCAGTGAGGTCATTTGCTGCACGAGGTATGGAGCTTTTTGTTGCTCAGTCATACAGTAAAAATCTGGGTCTTTATGCTGAAAGGATTGGAGCAATGAATGTTGTCTGCACTTCAGCAGATGCAGCAGCAAGGTGGGTTCTTGAACCTTATTCGACTTCCCTACAGGACAATGTCAATCAATTATCAATATGTGCTTGAAACTTGAATCTACATGTTAGACATCCGTTCTCATAGAGTAATTCATCTACAAATGTAGACACTGAATCCTTAAATTGCTTTTAGGAAGAATTGTGTCAAATCGGAGATTTTTCCTGTGCATTTCTTTTTTTTTGTTGTAACCAATTTATTATATTTTTTTGCGGTCTGATCAAGCTGAATCAAAGTTCTTTTACACGATCTATCATTAGTGGAACATTGATCTATCATTAGTGGAACATTAAGCGAGGGACCTGCTAACGATTGCATTTTCATCCTATCAGAGTGAAAAGCCAGCTGAAGAGGCTTGCTCGACCTATGTACTCAAATCCTCCTATTCATGGGGCTCGGATTGTTGCTAATGTTGTTGGGGATCCAGTTCTTTTTAATGAATGGAAAGCAGAGATGGAACTGATGGCTGGAAGAATAAAGAATGTAAGGCAGAAACTATATGATAGCCTGTGCGCGAAAGACAAGAGCGGGAAGGATTGGTCATTCATACTCAAGCAGATCGGCATGTTTTCATTCACAGGATTGAACGAAGCTCAGGTAATTGCTTTTATCATCTTCAGCCTTTTTCATATGGCCTTTGTTTCTTCTTCACACTTCATATAATTTCTTCACGGCCAAATTTTTTATGACCAAACATTCACGTGTCTGTCATTGTCGAACAACTAGTTCCCTTATTCTTTCGCATGGTCCTTTACCTCTACTTTTTCCCTTTTTCTTTTTTCTCCATTGCAGTCACAATTCTATTGTGTACTTTTATTTTACAACTGTGTTTCATGATCATCATGAGAAGTTTCAACGTTCATATAAAAACTCCTGTGTCATATAAGTAACTCTAATTTACAGAGGCATCAATCCAGAATATTCTCTGCTGTAGTGGCTGTGTTCTCAATTTATAGTACTCAAGTGAGACAATGATAACATAGATTGTGGACTTATGATCGTTTTTTCCCCCCCTTGATCAGAGTGACAAGATGACAAATAAGTGGCATGTATACATGACAAAGGATGGAAGGATATCCTTGGCTGGCTTATCTTTGGCCAAATGTGAATACCTCGCAGATGCAATCATTGATTCGTTCCACAATGTCAGTTGAAATCAATATCATTGCGATGGAGATTAGAAGCAAACTCCAAAGGGATTTTTGGCGACCCTGCTGTTCAACAATGTATTGTTTTAGTAAGGTTTCATGAAAATCTTGTAATAACTCGTGCTTATCTCATGTTGGAAATTTTTTATTGTGAATTTCACTACAGCCAAGCTGTCGAATTTATTTCTTTGAGAGAGGAAGTTAACTTGAGAATTTTGTATGTTTAATGATCTTTTATGTGCTATTAGTAAAATCCATTCCCGGTTCTCTAATTATGTGACGGGAACCTATCTCTAGCACTCAGATGAACGAGAAGAATGAATTACTTATTAAATTAACTGATAAAACAGTACAAGAAACCCATAAACCCTAATAATGGTGGTATTCGAGAGAGAGACTACCAGCTCTCTCAACTTGTTGTGAAACAATGACAATCATGAGCTCAACTTGTGAAACAATGACAATCATGAGAAGCGATGGCATAAAAAACGACATACAAATAGAATATGAAGGCAAGTTGTGAAACAATGACACGGTCAAACAAAAATCCAACAGAAGCTTAGGCCCTGTTTTTACACAATTTAAATAATAAATCAAGCTTTATTATTAAGTGTTTTTCTCATAAAAATATAAATATAAATTTTTTGTTATATTGTTTTTTTTTTCCCCTTCAAATACACAATTCATTAGAGTTGTTAATTTGAGTTTACAAACAAACTCTTGATAAAGTTGCGAAAATCGATATTCGATGATCATGTTCTCATCGAAAATCTGCGGTCATAAGAAATCAGCAAAAAGAAAAAGTAACAGATTAGCAAAAAATAAAATAAAATAACGAAAAACGACAAGTACTAGTTTCATGAGTTGGGGGTCCAATATTATAGATCAAGTGAAGTAGTTCTTCGTCGACGCGTCGTATCTTCCTTTGACAAACGCACTTCATCTCTCTCTCGATTCTTTTCAACTCCCACTCTCTCTAAGCATGAAATAAATACGATTGGAGGCAGAGAGGTACGTTTTTAAATCCTCAATTTTTTTTACTCTGTAAATTTACCCTTTTTCTCCTTGATAGGTATGGAAAATGGAAATATCTGTTTTTCTTTGTTTCTAATCGAAGTTTCTGGGTTGATTATTAGCAAGAGAAAAAAGTGAAAATGATAATAATAATAAAAATAAAACATATACCATGGATGAACCTGGAATCGAGAAAGATAGTAAAAAAGAAAACTTTTTTGTGTTCTTTTAGGGGGAAAGAAAAAATGCTTCATTTATGTGGTAAAGGAAGATGCAATAAACTCAAAAGTGGGGAAGCGCTTTTGTTTGATACGGAAATCGCATTATTTGCAAACTGGGTTTCTGTTGCTGAGCACACTAGAAGGGTTAATTTATTATTTTCTTTTTCTTTTTTGATAATTACTTTTCATCTGATATGCAAATGCCGCACAAAAGCTTTCAAAGGATAAAGAGTTTGAAACAAAGAATAAATTGAAAGCAGAAAATAAATTACAACATCCCAATTGCAATTAATGGCATGGCACGGAATTCTAATTTATTAGAGCTTAAGTGCTCGCTTGGATTCTTTATGTTCTGCTTCCTTTTTGTGGAAACAAAAAAGCTGCAAACATTTTTTTCCTATTGCTCAATACTTTTTATGTACCTTTTTTTTTTCTCGTTTATTATCTTGAATTGTATGACATCTTTATATTTTTATTTGCAGTATACTTAGTGTCTTCTACGCAAGGTTTTCGTCAACATGGATTGGAGTCCCAGCTGTTTGTTTTTGGAGCTCCTTTAATTTTAGGAACTTAAAAATCTAGAAAAGAAAAATGGGTTCAACCCCAAAACAACCTTTATTTTGTTTCAAGTTACCATGGGATGCGAACCAAAATAAAAGTCCTAGTGACTGCACTTTTGAGGCTCCTTGGCTGTTTAAATCAATGAAAAATGTTGAATCCGCGGCCGTTAGGTTCATCGACTCGATTTCAAAATCCTCAATCTCGTATCCATGGATGAATAACTTTAAGCCTGTTCAATCTGATCACCAGACCACCCAAAGCAAGATTTTAAAGACAAAAAGAATCTGGGCTCCTGAAGAGCAAGGAGAGGCGGAGCATAGAGCATTTGCCTCGGCATTGGCAAGTGGTAAAGGGGCTACAGTGCTCGAGTTCTACTCACCCAAGTGCAGGCTGTGCAATTCCTTGCTGAATTTTGTGATGGAGATAGAGGGAAGGAATTCGGACTGGCTTAACATTGTTATGGCAGATGCAGAGAATGATAAGTGGCTGCCTGAGGTATTGATAGCTTTTAGAGTAAATCTGAGATTCAAAACACAAGTTGGTCACTTATTTAGTAGCACAGTTTAAGTTTTCAATCAATATTTTTGGCTGGGTAGTAAGTAGCTCATGATTTTGTCTCTTTGGTAATGCAGCTCCTCCATTATGACATTAGATATGTACCTTGCTTTGTACTGCTCGACAGGAATGGGAGGGCACTGGCAAAAACGGCTGTTCCGAGCAGTCGGCTACATGTAATAGCAGGTCTTTCTCATCTCCTCAAAATGAAACGTCCAGAGAAAAGTAATAACTAGATGCCAATATTGAATCTTGTTGAGCAAAAAATAAACTGCAAATTCACGCTTAACATGTTTTGAGATCACCATTCATTAGATTTGATTGCATTACTGGATTGCGTTTTGTCAGGCATGGGGCTATCGTCTTGTTTCGGCCCTGTATTTTTGTGTATACAATTCCTGGAGTACAATTTTCAATTTTGATTACTGGAGTACGAAGATGTTTAGGTAGAGCTCTTATTTTACTTGCCGACACAAACTAGCTGGCATTCATCTAAATGATGCAAATTTTAGAAGCCCTTGACACATTAATGGTATTGGTATACCTGTAAATTTGGTATATGTAAGCATTTATTTTTCAGATGATTGAAAAAAAAAAAAAAAAAAAACACTATCTGAATCATGGAAAAAACGTAGAAATCATCAGCTCAACGAATAATATTCTTGTTTTCAAGCTTCATTCAATAGTTGAGATTTAGACTGTAGATACATCTCAACAGACGGGATGAACTTGTAACCTCTCTCTGATGGCATATAACATCTTGCAAAGAGGAGGAATAGAAAAGGTCTGGATAAACCTGTGCTTGCCAAAAAAGCCAAATGCTTGGGTTGTCCTGCTAGCCCGGCAGTGTAACGTAGTCCCAGCCACTGTTAGTAGCAGAGTTGGGGCTCGTTAGCTCCGCTCGCCAAAATATAGGATAACGCCAACACGATCTAATGATTCTGTTGTCTGGTCCTGGGATCATGGATCAAGAGTTAGCTGACAAGCAAATTTGTCCCACATCTCCTAGCGCTTGGAGGTTCAAAAGTTTTGGGACATGGATATTTCATACGCACATTTGAACCATCTGTCGTGTTCTCGACCTTACAGTATGTTGTCTTTGAGAGAGTTTCTGTAGTACAAACTACAACTAGATAAGTTTCAGGCCAAAAAAAAAACTACAACTAGATAAGATATCTACCAAAGTACCCAATTGTCAGCGCTAGTTGATAATCTCCAATTGGAAAAATCATTAAGGGCCTCGTACAACAATCGCATTGGCTATAATATCTCACGTTTTCAGAACATCATAACGATCTTCGAATGAACAGTCTTGTATTTGGCTTCTCTTTTGACGATGATTTTCACGTGAACTGTTCTGAACACAATCCAATCGCATGGGGCGTGGCTGAAAGAAGAGAACGAATGCCCAAAAACCCACGTGAGGAATCGGCTATTTTAGTTGTGACTGATGGGCTATAATAATGACGGAGGTGCCTCGTGTGGTTATATAATTTGAATGTCTTTGTGTAAGCTTCTTTTTTGTTAGTTCATCTTTATTATTATTTTTTTGTACATGCACGATTTGGCAAAGAATAGATGAGAGTGAGTTGCTGAGAATGCTATTGAAACCAAGCCAGAAAGCACAGGTTATTTCATTGCGGATTTGGCTTGTGAATCTAATCGAGTTGATCAATCGGAAGGTTTGGTTTTTGCATATTTTTTTTATTCCCTTAGACAAGATTATTCTTTCAGCTAATGTCCGACAAAGTAAATCCAAATCCACAAGTAAAATTCCGGGAGGAGATAATTGAAAAGTTTTAGTTAGTCTCGCAGAGAAGAAATGACTTTGCCCTAATACTGCAATTTTCAACAGGCATTAGCAACCCACTGATTTGAGCAATGAATCTACCGCATAAACAAATAATTAGTAAACACAAGGGCAATCAATAAGCCTTTATATTCAACCAATTATCATAATTGCAATTAGTATATTTACGCTAACGACAGAACCCAGCAATGATCCAACTCAAAACCGATATATATATATATATATAT